AATAAAATAAGATTAGAATAGAAGGGAATATGAGAATAGAATCTTAAAGGTCAAAAAGAAGATAAAGGTATTTCTATCCAATGCTACTAATAAAAAATGATGCTGCTAATGTGTGGGGAAAGGAATTGATTTCAAAGCAAAAAACTTTATTTAGAGCTGTATTTTGTTGGAAGGGAATGGAAAGGAAGAAAAATTCTAATAAATTTAATTTTAAAAAAAAATGAAAAAGGGGGGGTTAAAAGATATTTCCTTATTCTTTTAATTTACATATTCTCTTTATTAAAATTTTATAATCTTTAAAATGATATTTGAGATCATCTCGAGACAAACTTTACCAACATTTAAGAAGCTAGTCCTTGCTATAGGGTAGCTAGGACTTAATTAAGAGCCTACACCCTAGCATGCTTTAAATCTAACCTAATCTATTTACTAAATAAATTCAGGCACTTAATTATGCCTATTTAGTTAAATAGGCCATGACTAGTTTTTCAAAGCCTAACTTATGAGTCCAATAGGTCAGCCTATTTATATATATATATATATGTAATATATTATACATACATCAGTTTTATAATTTAATTTTTAATCAATCTATTTTTTATTTTTAGTTATGTTTTCAATCAGATTGGACTTATATATTAATTTTAATATTATTACTTTATTATTATATTGTATTATAATTGATAAGTCCTTTTAATTATTATATATTATAATTGATAAATTAAGTTATATATTTAAACTAATAATTCTAAAGCATATTTGAGACATTTAAGACTAAAATGTGAGTTTATTTAAAAGACTTAATTTTAAGTAAGCCTTTAAATAGGCTTTCAGGCCAGACTTTATGCAAGCTCTGACCTGAGTCATGAAAAAATTCTTATATAGGTTTCAAGTCAAGTTCAGGCATCTGACTTACCACACAGGCTCAGACTTATTTGGCCAAAGCCTTGCTCAAGCCTAGCTTGTCTCCACCTCTACTGTGCCCATTTAATTGTACCTCTCTAGACTCTTTTATCCATATCTTGTGCAGAATTAGAGCTTGGGATTGAGATTTGAAATTACTCAGGCATTAATTTTAAGTTTAACACTTTCTTTTCTCTTCAAGGTTGGGTACAATATATATGAAATGCAAAGAATACAAAAAGAACTCCTTGATAAAGACTCTTTGCACTTGTTTACTGGAATATCTAGAAAATAAGATGTAAAATTATTTATTATGATGAAGACATCATCTTAGAGATAGTGTCTTCACTTACACCCAAGATATAATCGATGACCTTAGCCTCCAATCAAGAATCAACCACTTGTCTTTAAGACGAGAAAGGTCATAAGCCAAAAGGTTCCTCTCAAAATAGGTTGGGTTAGAGTTGACGTTAATGATAAGTCATTACTAATGGTGTTATTTCTTGTGATAACATCATATGTGATGATTAGGCAATCGTGTTAAGAGACTTCTGTAAATATTTTGGTTATTACTGTAGTATAGTCCTAGAACTTTTGGACATTCTAAAAGGCCTTAACTTTTGTTGGAATGACAAATTTGCTAAAATCAACATTTACTCTAATTCTCTTGAAGCATTGCCAATGCTCATTCAACATAACTTCTCCAATGACTATATTCTTTCTAAAATTATTAGTAATATAAGGGATTTACTATAAAAGATGGAAAGATCACCTTCAACTCCATGTTCAAAGAAGAAAATAATTGTGCCAAATGGTTTACTTAACAAGCTGCTGATGACAATTTTGAAATTAAACCACAATTTTTGAAGATCCACCAAGGATCAAATTTTGATATAGCCTTATTTGTTTTTATGTATATATAGTTTTTCATGTTCTTGTATTAGAAAAAATAATCCCATTTATCCATCAAATGAAATTCATTAAAATCTTCCCTCCCCTACATTCTCTACTAACTAAAACACGGGGTTAGTTTTAAGGGAATGCGTCTTCCCATGAGAAAAAAAATTCAAACCAGAAATTGCCAAAAAGATAGTCAAAATGGCGGGAAAGGATATGTAGGGTCTGTTTGGTTTCTATTATCATTTTTTGTTTTTAAAAATAAAAATCTATTTACTTATGTTAATTTAAAAACAGTTCTATAATTAAAAATAGGTTGATAGTGATGGTTGTAGGTAATTAATAGTAATGGTTTATGATAGAAATTGATCAAGTTAGGTATATTTTTAATAATTAAATATATTGCATTTTGAAAAGAATAAAAATAAAAAAAATAACTTCAAGATGTTTACGAAAAATTGTAGAAATAGTTAAATTCAAAACATTTATCCAAACAAATTTCTTAAATTATTTGTTTTTAAAAATAGAAAATATTTTTTAAAAATAGAAACCACACAAGCCCGTAATTTCCCATTCCAATTCTAAGGACTCTCAAGAAACAATCCAAACATGCCCTAAAGTGTGCAGTGGATCTTCTTACAATGGAAATTTCATTTTTCTTTTTTTTTTTCCTCCTTTCTACTTGGATGCTTTTTTATTTCTTTGGTCGTGTTTGGAGCCATTTACTCATATGCATTGCTTTATTCACAGTCACTGCAACCCCAAAATTTAATTTTTATTTATTGTAGTGATAATTTGCTTTAGGCTTCAAAAATCATATTGTATTTTTAGTTTCCTTTTTATTTTGATTTATTGACGAGACATTTTTATTCACACACACACACACACACACATATATTAATGTAATGAGTTAATGAGTCACGTCCATAAATTTTTGTTTTTTTGGTATCTCTAGAGTATGACCAAGATTTGAGACTCATGTCAATGGTTGTTATTTTCATCTTTTCGTCTCTGTTTTTATTTTTCACTCTACGGACTTATGGTAATGAGACACCAAATTTGATTTTATTTTTTCCCAAATTTTTCTATTTGTTTAATAAATCTTTTGTCCCTTATTTTTTATTAAATTTTAATAATGAAACATGTTCGAGTGATTTAAATTAAAGAAAATAACGACTGATTATAACTCATAATTAACTTATATCAATGACAACTAAAAATTTTATAAATTAAAAATTGTTTAAGCATCATAAAATTAAATTATTTTTTTTACTTTTACTCATATTCTTTAAATTTATAATTTCAGTTCATTAATTAAAAGGATCTCTCTGTAACTATCAATATGGCTTTCAATTTTAAAAATAACTCAGGCTCCATAAAATCTATATCTATCTATAAATATATTGTAAAATTAAACATATATGGTTGGCAATATATAATACACACACATATTATAAAATTTATAGAAAGACACATTATTTATATAAGCTATATATAAAATATTGATCACTTTAAACTCCTTGCAAATCACATGCTCTACTTAGAAACAACTTAATTTTCCCAACATCAACATCAATATATCTATAAATAACTATTATAAGCAGATGCAATCTTAACAAATTATGAATATATAGCACAACTCTTTTTCTTTATTATTTTTTAAAAGTTAGATGAGATCAGACTAATACGGTTAAAAACGTACAGTGATATTTTAAGTTTGGAGCTTATTATTATAATTTAGGATCTTCTTACTATAAAAAAACCACTTATTTGTTTTAAACAAATTAATTTTATAAAATATTATGATGCTTGTTTAAATTTTGAAAATAATTAGAATATGAAAAAACTTATTATTATTTTTGAAAAGCTATTTTGACCAGCTTTTGAAAATAATTTAATACAGTAGATAAAAGATAATATCATATGATGCTAGATAAGTGAAAAAAATTATGTAATTTTAAATATTTAAATAGAAATTTATTTTTTTAAAAAAATAGAGATCCATGAAAATATAATAAAATCTAAAAATAATTAAATAATAATCACTTTTTATTATTATGAGTAAACATAAAATAATATCTTTTCTTTATAAAATCTCTATAAAATAAATTTATTTTTACAAAATTGTTAAAATATCTAAAAATTACTTATTTTTTAATCTTAAATAAATGAACCTCAGTGACATGGATTAATTATAAATAATTAATCACTTATGTTTTCTCCCAAAAAATTCTTAGATAGACCAGGTGCACCATATCATTTGTGATCTATTTAATAAAAATATGACATTTAAATGATATTAAATATAAATTGATTTGATATCAAAGATAATGAAGAGAGAAAAGACAATAAATTAATTATGAATTATATTATAAGAATAAAATTAATTAAAATAATGTCACTTAAGATTTTATTTAGATGAATTGAAGCATTCTAATTGGATAGACTACAAATGACATGATGTATTTGGTCTACCTAAGAATTTCTCATTTTCTCCCAGAAGTTATTAGTCGTGCTCCTTAAAATTACAACTTATTTTTCTCAGCATCACAATGATGTTTTTTTATTTTTAATTTTCCTACTGCATTTGAATGAGAAACTTTTTACGAAATCTAAAAAAACAGGTTATAGCTTTAGTGGACACAAATGATAACTTTAAAAAAGTATTAATGATAGTTTAATTTCACCCTCTTTGAGATAAATTTTAATTTTTGACTTTTTACAATAAGACAAGATAACGTTCTTTAACTAATATTCACCTTAAATTAATTGTTTGTTTTTTACTTTATTTTTGGACGCTTTCACAAACTCTAATGAATAAAGATTTGGTTATTTAATGATTATGTACACCATAATTACTTGTGATAATAATGAATTAATATAAATAGCATTTTAATGAATTAATTTATTACTAATTTCTTTTCATTCATTTATTTAACTGAACCTGTCGAACACTTTTTGTAATAATTAAATTACACATCATATTAAAGAATTAAACCTAGAGAGAACTAATAATTAAATAACTTCATGTTTTAGCTTATTTTGTCCCCCCCTCTCTCTATCAGATATTTATTTTTGTTTATTATTTTTTAATATTAAAGTTACAGGGGCATCAGCTGTAAGTCTGTAACCAACGGTGTGGTCTTCTCTGGTTTGTTTTCTACTGCTTTATAAAAAAGCCAAGCCTGTGGTTAAACCCATGAATGAGCTTTGATTCTCTCTCTTCTTCTTCTCTGAAGCATCACAGATACATGCCAAAAAAACCCTAAGAAAGAGGGATAACAGATGAATTATTAGCTTACGAAGAAGAAGAAGCTGAAGGAGAAGAAAAATTTGCAGCTCTAATTATTTTTTTTTATTTGAAGGCTGTCATATATGTGTATATATTTATATACCTGATTGAATCCTGAGCAGTTTTTGTTCTATATATAGATATTGTAATAATCTCTCTCTCGTAAAGCAAAATGGGTAGAGGAAGAGTGGAGCTAAAGAGGATCGAGAACAAGATAAATCGGCAAGTGACATTTGCCAAGAGAAGGAATGGGCTTCTCAAGAAGGCTTACGAACTCTCCGTACTGTGCGATGCTGAGGTTGCTCTTATCATCTTCTCCAACCGAGGCAAGCTCTATGAGTTCTGCAGCAGCTCAAGGTTCTTTCTCTATTTATCTATATATATATATATATTGCTCTAATTAATCAGCTTTAAGTTTGTGTGCTCTCCGATGAAAGCATTTCTGGGTTTTTCTCTTGGAGTTCTCACTTGTTCTCAAGGGTTGCTTCGAGTTTTCGTGTTGCTGTTGAATTGCGTGGGTGATTTCTTGAATATTTCATGATCATTAGGTGTTGTTGATTTTACTTCGTTTTTGGCTTTTGGGTGTTCTGATTACAGTAATAGGTCTAGGAGCGGATTTCGATTTCTGTACTTTCTTCTTTTTGTTGGCTTTCAAAAGATTAAATCACAATCAGAGTATGAAGAATCTATAAATCTTTAATTATTAGATGATTGGTTTAAGGATAACCCAGATAGAAATTCTTGGAGGACTAAATTTCTTACATTTTATTGCAATCTGTCATATCATGGTTAACATATAATCTGATTAAACAAAATTCCATGTTTTACTTTTTCAGTTCTAATATTTGGAATCAGGTTAAGCTGTTTGAACATATATACATATGCATAATAAATTTTGAAGAATTTTGTTTCACTTTCTCCTTCCTAGCTAGCTAGTTAAATTTTGTAGGAGATTCTGGAGTGCGGGGGAATATTTTCTTCCAATACATTAATTTTTATTCAAGTAAGCGCAGAAAAGGAGAGGACTGGGGGGTTGGTCTCGTTGCAACTTGAACCTTCAGTGATATCATAGGCATGCGTGAAAAAGCATTTTAAATATAGAAATTTCTGGGAATAACATTGTGTACCATATAAAATTCATTGATTATCTCTTAACATTTCGATCAAAAAAGAAATTATTGTTAATAATCAAATAAATGGTAGGGAAATGGGGGCATAGAAGTATCAAAACATTGCCAATCAAAAATGCTGGTTTTGAAAACTCTTAAATTTCAACAAACATTCCTGCTTGATTTTTAGTGTTTGATTCCTTGTTGATTAAGTCCCGTACTGTTCTACTGTAATGTTATGCGATGTAATAACCACAAATCTTAACGTTGGAAGTGGTAAATTATTCTGTGATTAATATTTTTTTGACGAATCCTTACTGACGTTCTTTTGACGCCTGTTTTGTACCTAGGATTCTATGATGTACTATATTTCAGTTATAATTGAATATCGTCAGAAAAGAGATCAAGTTTCAATATAAGGGAAAACTTAAGAATTAAAAGTAAATTAAATATGATTGTCGTTTACGCCTTATAGTTTTTTAAATCGTCACAATATGTCTGTTTTTAATTTTATGAAAAAAATGATTATTTTCAACATCATTGAAGTGAAAGTTTCTGATCTTCAGTTGTGCTAAGAAGCATTCTTGATTAAGAGTAAAATTCCAAAGATGTTACCCAGGAAAAAAATAAAAAGCCAATGAATGGCACTAACTATCACTGGAATTCGTAGATTTAATTACAGAGAGCTACAGTTACAGATGAGCAAGGATGTTCCCTTTCGATTCATGAGATTATATATAGTTCTTTTTGTACGAAGGCCTTACTGGTAGATTAGAACTGAATGACAGAGAGAGAGAGAGAGAGAGAGAGAGAGCAAGAACACAGACCAGAAGCCTTGTGCTTGAAAAGTTTAAAAGGAAAAAAAAAACAGTCAGTATTTGTTTTATTCATATCACTCATGAAGAAGCCGTTAAAATTAACATCCATCACAATAAAGCAGCTTAGATATCTTCATTGCCTCGTACGAGTACTTTCAGGACTGGAAAATTGCTGGGTTTTATTTTGTATGCAAAAGTTCTGAAAGATATCTGAAAATAATTATATTTCATGTTGGTGCTCATGATTAACTATACAGTATATACCGTGAGAGAACTTCTCTCATGCATCCCTTCTAGTGGGACAAAAATGAAAAGACATCTCCTTCAGTATCTGCAAATGTAGGAGTTAGGAGTTATGCTGAGATCACTTTAAAAGGTTTTAATGATAATAGAATTAAACTCTCCAATCTTGTATGCACAGGTTAGTGTGAAGATTGAAGAAAGAGTAAAACTTTATTGTTGACTTACAAAGGCTAATGAGATTAGTTCGTGTATGCATTAGCCTCTTGGTTTGAGCAATAACGCAATAATAAAAGAAAACAATGTTTGTTTAGTGACAGAAGGAAACTTGCCTTTCTTTGTTAGATAGTAGTGTCATGATAAAAGTCAAATCCTAAATTAATACAGAACTGAAATCATGATAAACAAATCCGTAAGCCTTGCTGAGCATTATCAAAGTACCAGAAATAAATTCATTTCCATCAATGCCATAATTTGAAGAAAGTTCAAAAGCCCCGGACTAATTAAGATGAAATGTCCTTCTACTTCTAGAGAGAGAAGAGGTTTACTATTTGGAGACGCAAGATGTAAAATCAAACCTAAAGCAACTTACTTAAAGGTTTGGACCAATACTCACCTATATTCAATTACTATTAATGAGACATATACACTTCTTTTGATGTCGCTAAAAAAAGATGATTTGTCCAATCCATCACCAATCAAGTTCAAACAAAAGGTATAATTTCCTTTTGGTTACACCAAACAGTAGTAAGTTGAATACCAGTATGTACAGATTTGTATGTATAGATTTGCTATGTACACCAATGATTGCTCAAAGTAGTTATTCTCATAATAATATCGTATACATTAATAATTGATTTAGATATTTAAAGCAAGGAAATTTAACTTTTTTCATGAGCTTTAAAAAATAATAACTTTTGTTTGAACTTAATTGGTGATGGATTGGACAAATTATCATGAGAAACATTGGAAGAAGTGTATATATCTCACTAATTATATCAGAACTTAGGTGATTATTGGTCCAAATCTTTATGAAAGGGTTCCTCCAAGTAATTGCTATAAGATTATCAACGAATGCTCAAAATAATTTTCCTAACATAACATTGTACATATTTATAAATGATATTGTGACTTTAAAGAGAGGAAGTAGTTTGGCTTTTCTTGATCTTGTATTATTTTTAGAAGCTTAATTAGTTTGAACTTATGAAATGGTTGGTTCTTGTATCAACAGTACTTGATCCGTGACAAGAACTGTGTGCGTGCGTGTGCATGCATGTATGTGGATGGGAAGGTAGAGAAAATAGTTTCATTTCTCTGATTAACGTGCCGTAAGAAATTCATCAATCTCGATCTTTTTAACTCCTGTAAATGTTCTATTTTCTGCATGTGAAGATTATATATCAAAATAAAATCTATATTTATGTCCTGGATTACTTAATTATGTGTCAACTCTTCATATATTTTGCTACAAAATTATTATTTTTCGTTTTGGTCTTATGATGTGGGTCATGTATAACTGGGGTAACTTTCTCCGATCCTTAAACCTTTCTGATTCAGTGAAAGTAACTCTGATTCTAACGCCAAACGTAAGGGAAGATCCCAATTGAATGATTTCTCAGTAATTTATCGTCGTATATACAGAAATATTTGGCTTAGATTCAAGTGCAAAATGATTAAGTAACCATTACTGGCTAATAAGTTTTGTTTCATCTTAAGCACTTATTCTTGCATTCCCCCCTTTTATTTATGTATAATATTTTTATACAAAATAAAGAAACGGATTCGATGCCATTTATGCGATGGCTTTTTCATTATTTCAGCATGGCTAAGACAATTGAACGGTACCAAAGATGCAGCTATGGAGCCTTGGAAGCAGAGCAACCTGCAATGGAGACACAGGTTAGTTCAAAAGAGAGATTCATAAACTTTATCACCTTTTTTCCCCTGTAATTATTAACTTTATAACTCTATTCAACTAAATCCAGTAATATTTTGTTTAGAAAGCAATTCTCTTTAGAACACTCATTTTCTTATGCTAATATAATGAGATTTAGATTCAATGAGTGGCTTATGTCCACTCATTTAATTAATATCTCAATTACAGTCATTAAATTCCATCAATATTTGAAAATTGTGAAGAAGCATTTCCCTCCAAAATTCAAAATAATCATCATGATCAAAGCATTCTTTACTTATGCCATCCCTTCAAAAATTTGAGATCTGGTACTTTCTAAATGTTATATGATAAAATCTCTTACAGTTATTCAATTATTATCATGCCATGCAAAACATTCATTGAGTAAGTAGACTTCTTGCATATATATGCACAGTTTCTCTTCCCTTCATTGACTGAAATATCATGTAAATTTATGTTCACCCCCGTCTTTAATGATTTATGGCAAAGTCTATCCTCATTCCGTACTATATGCCCTTGTGCAGAGGTGCTACCAAGAGTATCTCAAGCTGAAATCAAAAGTGGAGGCACTACAGCGCACACAGAGGTGAAATACGTACAATGATATTTCTGAAATGTCCTCGAAAAAAAACAATAGACAAGTTGCTCTAAAGATCACCAGAGACTTGATCATGAATATTAGACATTTTAATTCTATACTCAAATAATTTAAATGTACACTTTCTAGAAATCTGCTTGGGGAAGAATTGGAGCAGTTGGGGATAAAGGAGCTTGAGCAGCTTGAACGTCAGTTGGACTCTTCCCTGAAGCAAATCAGGTCGAACAAGGTATGCCAATTTGGTCTCGTACAAAGTAAAACATAACCTCTTTAGTTGTTTTGAGCTCTTTAGAAGGATCATTATAATTACATATGCTTAAAGCTAAACAATACGTTCAAGATGTTTTTATCTTCCTGTTCCTTATCTGCAGACACAACATCTGCTTGATCAGCTCGCTGATTTGCAAAGGAAGGTAAACCTATGTTAGATGCTTTTTAACATTTTTTAACTTGTATACGTATATGTATATGTTCTGATTAACATGCTTTTGATGGATGGGCAGGAAGACATGCTTCTGGAAACTAACCATGTCTTGAGGTGCAAGGTAGGAAAAAACTCCTTAATCTTTCATGGTTTACTCATAAATTTGTAGTGACTGAATCTGATGTTGTCGATTCTTTTGGCTTTTCTTCCATTTAAAACTGAATTTAAAAGGATTGCATTTAGTTGTGTGGTTAATTTGCTGAATGTGTCCTTTTTTAATCTCGGATAAAGAATAAATCAAATTTAACTTAATCACTTAAGTTCTTTAAGGTTTCTTAAATTATGCATTTCAGCTGTTCATGTTGTATTTCTTTAATAATGATGATATATATCAAAAGGGGTAAAAGTAATTAATGTAGAACTTATAAAATGCAAGCAATTATTTAATAAGTCCTTAAATATACAACGGTAAATATCGTTATTTTTTATGGATTCTATTTTCGGTTTAATCTCTTTAAGTATATAATATTCTCATTTTATTCTATCTTTAAAACTTCACGTCACATTTAACAGTTTGCAGGCTTAGACATTGTCTGTTACGTACACCTATCTTAGAAGTCTCCTAGTCAGCTGAACAGAAAGCTAATATCATAACAGCATTAATTACAGTTTTAAATTACCTAGTATTTTAACAAAACTTTGCGTCCTTGGTCCTCCTGTATATTCTGTACCATGCTATTTTGTGGTGATTATAGGTCATACTATTAAAGCTTGCACAAAGTATAATATATACTTGAAAAAATACAATAAAATCTTTTAAATTATAAAATAAAATGTCACAATTTCACAATTGTCAATAAATTTTAAATTAAAAAATATTATTTTACTCTTATTAATAAATTGTGATTTCTTATTTAATTCTTATATTTTTTTGAATAAAAGTTATTTTTTAAATAAAATTGTGATTGAGGCTTGTTATTTTAAAACTTCTTGTTTTGCAATAATAGAAATTACATTTGATAAGTTGCGATTTTTTGTTCAACTCTTGTGGTTTACAGAACAGAAGTTGTTATTATTTAAGTAAAAGTTATAATTGACACTTGTTATTTTGAGGTAGAAATTATATTTAACAAGTTGTAATTTTTTATTCAATTTTTATAATTCACAGAACAAAGGTTATGTTACTTAAATAAAGGTTATAGTTGTAAATTGTTATTTTTAATAAGAGTAAAATAATCTTTTTACTTTAAAATTTATTAACATAAAAATTCTTAAAGATTTCAACCAAATTATGACATTTTTAAAAATTAAATTATCGTTTATATAATTTGGAGGAATATTACTGTCATTTTTCCTGTATATTTTAGCACCTTTACCTGTGTCCTTATAGGCTAATACCGTATGTAGTCTTCTTATCTAGAGCCTTGAAAAAGACAAATTATTGATGAGATGAGAAAAGGCAGAAGAGGTCTGGTTTAACACACCCTTACTACTCATTCTCTAACAATATCATGATATAATTGTAATCAGATACTGTACGTAGTCAAAGCTTTCAAGATTGTAAAGGATACAGAAACTCAACCTTCTGTACATTAAATTTCAATATTCCGACAAATGTCCTTCATCATCATTTTTTTTCATTAACTGCTTGTTTTTAGATGCTATTTAAATCTTTTTTTTGGGGTGCTATTTCTACTTTTGATTTGGGAAAAATTACAAAAACACACACCCCTTAAAGTCTTTGTCCATGTGCTATTTCGCTGTCTTCAAACTCTTTTATATTTTTGCACAGTTGGACGAAATAAATATAAGCCTTCAATCATCATGGGAAGCTAGGGAGGGAAATGATTCATACAGCCGCCATCCTCCACATTCCGATGACTTCTTTGGGATTGCTCAATGCAGTCATGCATTGAACATAGGGTAAAGCCCCTCCCCATCATTGCTGAAAATCTACTCCTTCAAGTATATGATTTGGTTTTGTTGTTACGACCCGGTGCTGTTTCTTTGGCTGAATTAACTTTAGGCCACAAATTGCCTTCAGGTTTTAGTCCTGGCCTCTTCAAATAAACACAAGGTACGGTAAATATATCTACTTGTAGTCACTTGGAGAGGCCAGAACTTTGGGACAAACTTGCCTCATCTACTTTTAGGCTAAGGTTTCTTTATGGGCGAATATTGAAAGCATCATAATGGTTTGTTTTGGCATTTAGAAGTTAAGACTTTCCATACGAGCTGTTTCTAGAACTGATGTAAAAAGCAATTTTTAACCTAAGTAAAAAGTCATTTTTGTATCGATACTGTGCGATTATTTGATGAGAAAAGATACCCTCCATTATTATAACCATTATTACAGTATATTTTATCCTCCTTTGTCTAATTTGTCGAATCTCTTGTGGATCTGTTGCATTAAGATTTTCTCTTCAAAATACTCACAAGATTAGTAGAGTGATCAAGCTTGAATTGGCAGGAGATATATGATATTTATTTTGAATCTCAGCTAACTCTTTTTTTTTTTTTGGGTTACACTTAGCTAACTCTTCTTTTCAAAGAAGATAATATTAGTTGGCAAGCTGCTGATTCCATATTCGCTTTTGCAGCTTTGGTTCTGCAGAACCAAATGCAGCTGCTGGAACATCAGCTGGAACCTCAGCCCAAAATGCAAGTGAGTTCCTGCCAGGATGGATGGCATGATATATATATATATATATATTGAGCACTCCGCTTAATTCATCATGTAATTCTCTGATGATGGTGATGGTGTTGATGATAAATGATGCATTTGTAATGATCTTGTTCATGAAACTGTATCGCCTGGAAGAGCAGGCTACAATAAAAAGTGTTAATGAAAACCATGCAACATAGAAACCATTTTGTATTTATTCCTTGCAATAAACTTGTTTCCTTGACAAAATTTGATATGAAAGGAGAGTGTGTTACTGTGTTTAGATAAATTGAGAACCTTATGAAAATTGTATGTTCATTATTTAGTTCTTACATGTAAACATTACATTTGTGTCCTCCTTAGGCCTCATCTCAATTTTTTTTTTTTGGGGGGGGGGGGGGGTGCTGCTGCTCTTGTGCTCCCCCTCGTAGGTTCCTCTTGTACTCACATGGTTGGCAAAAAAAAAAAAAAGTGGGCACCACCCCCAATTACTTTTAAAGAGAATTACAACCTGCATCTCTCTCACAAGAAAATTAATTACAAATAAGAACTTTTATTAGTTGATCCTCCATCCTTATTATAAGAATCTCTTTAATGTGTTTGTTTCAAGCAGTAATTATTTTCTTTCCTTAATGCCCTTTGTTGCTTTGAATTTCTCCTCCCCCTACACCACTTAAGTGCATCAATCATGCAAAGAGAAATTAAGATGGCAAAACAATAACATTTCAGGTTCATATACTTTAATCGTATTTTGTTTTTAATTCTTATAATTTATTTTCGTGGTTATCTATCCCTTTCATTTGTTCCCGTTGAAATATTATTTCTTTTTTTTTTTGATGAATTAATGAAAAAAATGAATTTGTTTAAAAAAAATACTTGGAAGGACCATGAGGCATGAACTAGCCCAAACGGTGTAGATTTTGCCGAGGTGGATTTAACACTGTTAAACATATAAAATGACTAAGAAAAAACATGTTGACTTGGAAAAAAAAAAAATAAAATTGTCTGATTAAAAATTTGATAATTAGACAACAGAAAAAGGAATCACATTTCCTTAAAATGAAAACACACATGTGAAATGGAGAAAAGGCAATTGGAAAGCATTAGGACATTGGATCTCAGCAAAATTAACATTATTTAGGCCAACTCAAAATTAAGGGACCAACATTTTAAGCAAAGTAAATAAAAGGGATAGAAAAGTAAGAAAATAAATTTCATGGAATGAAAACATAATATTGATTAAAGTATAGGGACCTCAAGTAATAAACTTGAAAGATGATATTGAAAACTTGATAAAATATTGAATGAATTCAAGAACATATTTAATTTATAACTAAAATTTTTAATAAATATAAAATTATTAAAATGTTTTTATAATAAGCACATAAAGTTGTGTGTGCGTGTTTTGTTTGTTTTTAGTTGTTTTAATTTAGAAAAATTAATTATTTGATTCTTATAGTTTTGACCCAGTTATAATTTAATCCCTCAACTTTGACTCGTTATAACTTAATCACCAAAATTTTGACTCGGTTATAAATTAATCCATGAATTTTGACTTTTACAATTTAGTCCTTAAAGTTTCAACCTTTTAAATATTAGTCCATATATTTTAAAAAATAAAAGTATAAAGATTAAAAATATTTTAAACTGTTAATATTTATAAAGATTAAAAGGGTTTAATAATTTAAAATATTAGTAGTAAATTTTAAAATATTTTTAATCTTTATAATTTTATTTTTTAAATATATGAACTAATATTTAAGAGGTTGAAACTTTAAGGACTAAATTATAAGAATCAAAGTTTAGAAATTGATTTACAAATAAGTTAAAACTTCAAAGATTGAGTTATAACAAGTTAAAATTTAGGGATTAAGTTATAATTAAGTTAAAATTATAAGAATCAAATGATTAATTTTCTCTTTTAATTTTGTGTGGCTAATATCATGTTGCAGCATTGCAGCCATAGGAAATTAAAAAGTAGTTCAAAGAAGAACATCATATGAAGTTTTTGGGTTTGAAAGAATGACAAAAAAGTTTCCAAACTTATAATTTATTATACTTTAATCCCCAACAAAATTTTCTAAAAAATAAGTTATAAATATTAATTTATATAGTTGCAAATTGTATAAATCCTAACTACATACTAAGAGTTATATTTAAAATTTAAATGTTTTATTTATAATTATAAATTTATGACTATTTGAATCTATATTTACAAATAATTTTTCAAATGCTTTTTGTAAACCTAAATTTTGAGATTTTAATGTTATTCTCCCTTTAAATTTCGATTTTTGATGTGTGGAGGATGTATTAGGTGACCGGAATGATCAGATCTTATATGAAAGAAATGAAAATGATACTCTCCAGTCAACTTCTAGATATTTTCATATTTCTATATATAAGTTATTTTAATCTACAAAACAATATTCCTTTTTATAACAATATTCCTTTTTATGTGAAAAAACATGAAAATAATACTCTCCAGTCAACTTCTAGATATTTTTATATTGTCATTTTAGTCTATAAAAAAAATGCGTTCTTAAATATAAGACGTTTTGTAAAGTTTATATAGTAATGAATAATTTTTTTCAGAAATGCCCTAAAAAGGGTGCTTTTAATTAATAAAAAGAGAGAAAGAAATTTATTTAATAAAGCGTATTTGTCAAAAGATAAAATAATTTAGAGATATAAATTAATTTTCTTGATTTGTGTGAAGTAGTTGAATACCACTTATAAAAAAAAGAATGGAAGGAGTAATATTTTTTTTTTCCAATAGCGTGTCCTTATTGTATATATTAATATTGAGTAATTTTTGATGAGGTCAAATTTGAGTATTGTCGTGAGCAATTAGAGCTAACTCTTCCAAAATTATTTTTTGTATTCATACAGATTTGAACCCAAGATCTCGCGTTCAAGTGGTCATAACTACTTTCATTAGGACTAACGGATATGTTGTTGAGTAATTTTGGAACAGAGAAAAATCCATAGAAATGAGTATCATTGGCTTAAAAATTATTTCACTTCATTATAGGCATTTTAACACAAAAAAAAGGGAATAATTTTAAGATATAAATTCTACTTCTAAGCAACTTCTATGATATGTATGAATTAATCAAAACTGAGGTCATAAATCAATAGTCGAAAGTAAACCTAAAATTGTTAACTAAAAGAGCAGAACAGACACATATATGTTGCATATTACTGAAACCAATTCGATAGTTTCATTGACATAATATATATATATATATATATATATATAAAACTAAGACTATGTACATTAATTTAGTTAATATATACTCTTTCAAGTCCAAAATATAAGTATCTTTTAGGAAAAATTCACATATATAAGAATAAAGTTTTTATCATTTATGAGTGTTTTTCCTTTTTACCCCTAATCCCAATTACCAAAAATCTATATTAATAAATATAAGAGATAAAATGGGAATTTTTTTTACATGTACTATGTGTCTTATATTTTGAATCAAAATTGATTGAAAGAAAAATGCTTGTATTAATCTGGATCAAAGAAAGTATAATATGATAGTAGAATTTTATAATTCAATGATAAATTAGTCCTACTGAGAAATTATATTCATTCTACTTAAAAAGTTAATTTGTGGTGTAATTGAGATTGATTTTAATTTGATCACAAAATAAAAAATTTGGTGACAATCCTTTTACATATTCCTAGAAGTAGCATCGATCACACGGCACTTGTTGATGTAGCGATGCTAACATATGTTAGCCAAATGAAAAGCTGAAATGAAAGACCATTACTCACAAGACAAAAAGTGTTACAACTCATGAGAATTTTTTTTTTCATATTTTATTTAAGATAAAACAGAAAAATTGACCTCCAAATTATAGGTATCAGAGCATTTGGGATCCTAACCTTGCATGTCAAGCAATGTTCAGCTTGAACTTTTGAATGCAATGCAATCTGCCTCTTATTGTTAATAAAAGTTAACTTTAATAGTTAATTGGCAAAAACATGACATTAAAAATTATAGAAAATGACCAATAAAATGTTCGTGGTCCTTGGTTATAATTTTTAAGTCCCTTATTGTAAGTTTTTCATAATTTTTTAGCTACAACTATTAAAGTTAACTTTTATTAATAGTAAAGGCTTTATTACATGGTTTTTAAAAATTTAAGAAAAATATTATATAAAAAATAAATTTAGGGTATCACAGGTTTTTGGATTTATAATTTAAATGTCAATTTAATCCTTTAATCTTTTACCTTTTTATTTATTTATTAAATATTCACCCAATAGTCAATACCGTATTGTACTTTGATCATTTTTTTTTCACCAAATAATTTTTTGGTAGAAGTTTAGCAAATAGCACTTTGATGACTTGTCTTTTTTCTAAAAAAAATTGACCGTGACTTGCTAGTTCATTGACATGCATCACATCACGAATAAATTAGTTGTTTACGTAAAAATGCAGAGGTTAAAAATATAAAATTAATACATTATATTAAAGTATTGATCATATTCCTTTAATTTAATACATTAAAATACTTCCACCACGTGACTCATTGTGAGAATATCTAAATTTATTGTAAATATTTTAGCCTGATTATTAAGAATTATTGTTGATTATTAGGAGATATTAGCATTTACTACTGTGTCTCTCAGCTTTGTGTATATATATTGATTGTAACTCATAATTTAGCATCACCAGGAAATATGTTTCTCTATATTTCCACACTTACAAATAAGAGTGTAATGGGAAAGTATTAATAAATACTGCTTTAGACTTTTAAAAAGACATATAAAATAAAAAAAATCTTATAAAAAAACTTATATTATAAAAGGAAAGGAATATTATCAATGAACTAATGAAAATTTTACTAAAGTCAATTAATGCTTACTCTAATTCAATTGAAGTTCACACGCTTAATCAGGACTACTATAACCAAAGCCATTCTCTCTCAAATACTATAGATAGGATCAAAGACTTAGTTATTATTAGAGACTAGAATATAATGTTTGAGCATGTTTTTTTTAGATAAATGAATAAATTTCACTAAAGGCAATGTTTGTCACATATATTTTTCTATTATAGGTGTCACATATATTTTTCTATTATAGGTTTCATATTCATCATTCATTTTTTTGTTGTAGATCCCACATCCATCTTTTTTATTACGAGATTTATTATCTCTTGTTCTCATTTACTATATCATATTTAAAATTATTACACTATATTTTTTAAAAATCACTATATAAAATTTAGATGGATACTGTAGATCCAATAAATATATATATATGATAGATTGTAAACTCAGTATTGTTATATTTAAACAAGTATCTAAACTCCACATATAACTATTTCCATTATTAATCAAGGGAAAAATGATAAAGATCATTTTTATTTTATTATAATTTTAAAATGACAGTAATCTTAATTTCATAGTTATTTTATGGTTAAATGATAAATTGGCCTCTAAACTATATACATCTAGGAGCCTAAACTCATTTTATACAAAATTATCTTTCAACTTTTGAAAATGATGCAATGTTTTTTTTATCATTAATAAAAATTAACTTTAACTGTTAGTATCTGAAAATAACAAAAAAGGACTTCAAAAATTATAAAAAAATTCTTGGTCCTTTTCTGTAAATTTTAGGTCATTTTGTGCAATTTTCATGGTCATTTTCTATCATCTTTTATCAACTCAAAGCTAATTTTTGTTGATAACGGAGGCAAAATGACAAGTGAAGTTCTATGGTTAACAAGTAATTATTCGAAAAAGAACAAGTCCCCTCATTACATTTCAACAAGTAGAAATTCCAAAATTAACAATTTTAAGAAATGGAACCAACAAGTTTGAGTGAATGACAAGTGATACGCTCTAGTTGACAAGTAATCATTCAAAAAAGAACAAGTCTCTATTGCATTTTAATAAAGTATCAATTCCAAAATTAACAAGTCTAAGAAATGGAACCAAGGTGTTTGAGTGAAATGATAAGTGAAGTGTTATAATTAACAAGTAATCATTCAAAAAAGAACATGTCCTTGTCACATTTTAACAAGTAGCAATTCCAAAATTACCAAGTCTAAGAAATGGAACAGAGGAGCTTGAATGAAATGACAAGTGAGGTGCTCTATTTAACAAGAAATTATTTTGGAAAAGAAAAGTCCCCGTTATATTTTAATAAAGTAGCAATCCAAAATTAACAAATCTTAAAAATGGAATCAAGGAGTTTGAGTGAAATGAACAATTTGTAATTAACTTTGTCAAATTAACAAGCAAAGTTACTAAAATAACAACTGCAATTTCAGATTTAACAAGTCATTGAAATGTTATAACATGTAATTGATTTAAAGCTTAATTAGATTACTAAATATATTTATTTTTGCATAATACAATTAAATGAGCTTTTTAGCGGCTATAAACTTTTTAGGTAGTCAAAAAATCATGAGTCTAGATCTCCAACCTTAATCACCTTTATCAATTATCAAATATCAAATTAATTGGTCACTGAGGTCTCTAGGGGCCATCAATGACCACCATTGGATGGACTTTTTATTTTTTTTTAACATAAAGATATTTTTATCATTTCATATTCAAATTTATTCACGTTTTAATCCTTTGGTCCTTCAATAGAAAATCAGAATCCTTTAGCCATAAAGTCCTTTGTCATGATTTTCCCATTTTAAAATCACAATTATTTTAAAATAGAATGTAAAAGAAATTTTCTGATGCAGACAATACATGGTGTTACTGTCAGAGATCTGTCTTTGTGAGTAAAGTCACAGCGCTTCAACACATTTTTCCCATAGTAGAAGATTTGGACTATATCTAAAATCCTTTTACAATTTCCCAAATTTACGGATAACTAAACTTAGACTTTAGTACATTAACTATATATAACTCTACATATACATACATACATATATATATATATATATATATCCAAGTGAGACAATAAGTCAAGATAATAGAATGTAATAATAGAACTACAAGGTATTTTCATAATTATGATATTAAAACCTAAGTCGTTTTGTGTGTGGTCAGATTATATTATCGCAATAAATTTTGTTGTTATTATTTTTTATTTTCAGTAGTTCTAATTTTCTTCTCATGAAGATATTTTCTGTTGAAAATCATAATTAATCAAATTAAAATCATACATCAATCAGGAATAACAAGACTTATAAAAAATTTTTAAATTCTAAAATAATATAATTAAATAAATTTTCATGATGTTTTGTTTATTGAATTTTTTTTAAAAAAATTATATTATAAAATAATTTTTATAAATATAAAATAAAACAAGTTCTAATCCTATGATAATTTTTTCATGCATTATAATATTGATTTCTTCACTAAGAAATATAAGGCTTTTTTTTAAGTAAGATGTTTGAAAAATATAAGGTATTTTGAGTTTTTTAAAGTGTAACCAATGATGTTTTTTTTTTAAGAAAATACTCTTAATTAGGGATATAATTGAGAAGATTTTTTAATTGAGATATCTTATTAAATAAAAATAAATATATAAGAAGTGTATAATTTTAAAATAATTAACTAATTTATTAAAGAATGTAATTAGACTAAAAATATTTTATAATATTAAACGGTATTGCAAGTTCATCCATATGTAAGAAGGAACCGTACGGCAAAAAACCAACGCACGGATTTATGGAATAATGTTCGTGTCCCTACGATGAGGACCATCACAATTATGGTTATTTTTTTTTTAACTTGTTCATGAGAGCTGATGAGAGATCGGAAAAAAGCAGAAGTAGTTAATATATTATTGAAAAAATTGACTAAAAATTTAAAATATGCTAAGCAATGACGTTTCACGAAAGTTAATAACTCTAGTGAAGTCTTTTAGGTGTAAGTAGTTATTATTTAAATTAAAGTAGTCAATAATATCTACAATACTTGTGATTCAACAATTAAAAATTTTGTAAAAGAAAAGTTGTCACAAATATTTACAATATTTAGACTTTAGTTATTAAAAAATTTGCGGGATAGAACTTGTCATTCGTCATCCTATTTTAATTATTGTTAGAAGAAAAGTTATTATAACCTAAATCAAAATAATTATTGTGCTTTTATTTTTTATTTAAATCAAGAGTATTATAATCATTTTATAAATAACATTAATGTCACAAATTAAAGATTCTAAAGAACTTAAAAAAGAATTATCACATTTTGCAGATCTCATTATTATTTACATATTTTTTAAAAATTTTTCTATGATTTTTCCTTATTATTATGATAATTATGAAGAGACTAGTGGTGGACAGTAATTAAGGAAGGCAACAGAATGGAAGACTTTGAATTACGTGCCAGTGAACCAATGAGAGATCGACAACGCAATGAACAAAGATCACAACCCTAATCTCTTTGCCCTAAAAAACCCTAAAAGCTTTCTTATCCCTCACAGACGGACAGTCACACACGCCTCCATACTCATGCTTGTCCAGAAGAAGAAACAAATTAAACACACAAACTCTAAACATTCTCCTTCTCTCTTTCTTCTTCAACCCTTTGGGTTTCCCCTGTTTGGGTAATTTTATCGGGAAAATCCAACGGAAAAAGAAGAAATTTATCATTACACCAATATATATATTATAAGTATATTTATGAAGATATGGGAAGAGGTAGGGTTCAGCTGAAGAGGATAGAGAACAAGATCAACAGGCAAGTTACGTTCTCCAAGAGAAGGATTGGGTTAGTGAAGAAAGCTCATGAGATCTCTGTGCTCTGTGATGCTGAGGTTGCTTTGATCGTCTTCAATCACTCAGGAAAGCTCTTCGAATATGCCACTGATTCTTGGTATATGTGCTTGTGTGTGTGTTTGTGCACACGCAAGCACGCACGCACAAACTACTTCAATGTTAAATTCTCAAATTTCTCATCTTCATCTTTCTATATGTATCTGTGTGTGTTTGTGTGATGCTTGCACTGTACATGTTTTTCTCTGCTTTCTTCTATTTTTTGTGATTTGATCTCTTTGTTTGGATCTGATTCGAAAACCTTTTTGGGTATTATAATTTTATTTTTTCTAATCGAACAGTGTTTTCTTTAAGCATGTATATAAAAAGATTCAAGTAAGGATAGACCTTGGTTCATGCATGATAAAGCTTACTTGTTAATTATCCGTGTCAAAAGCTGTATTATGCACTGTGATATGTATTAATCTTTTGCTACATTACTCTAGCCTTTAATTTTCTTTTTCCATTTTTTTTGAATTTTTTTCATGTTTTAATTTGCACTTGAGTAGCGTTTTGGCTCTAGATTGAAATATATATATATATATATATATAGAATTCTTTGGTTGTAAAGTTTTATTTTTTCCCCTTTGTTTGTTTTGAATCGCATGAAAAACAAAGGTTTTTGGTGCATGTAAAATAGGCATATGAGAAGTTATAATATATATAGGGAAACCATAATTTTGAAATTCTTACATTTTACGTGAGTTTTGCTATAAAATTTTATACTTTTTTTCAATGTTTTAGGTCCTTATAACACCGCTTATGAAGGGACCTAAAATATAGGAAAATAAAAGTGTAAGGATCTAAAATATTGAAAAAGTACAAGAATGTATAGCAAAATTTGAGTAAAGTACAGAGACCTAAGTTATGTTTTCTCATATATTTAACATTGATGTTTGTTTTATTTTTGCAGTTTAATTCTATTAGAGTTATTGATTTTGGTTTAGGTTGAAATTAATGAATGAATTAGGAGAAACTTTTTCATTATAATATTTAATTTTTACTTTGATTTCTTAATTATACTGATTGATCATATATAAATCTGTGTTAATTCTTTTCCGCAGGTTTTTGTGGCCTTTACAATATGAAAAAGCCTGGCTACATGCATGTGTCACAAGTTTGACCATAATTACACATTAATACTAATCACTTTCGTCTGATTTCTTGTTTGTTTTGCTTTGCATCTGATTAGGGTTTTGGTTTTGGGATTGATATAATAGTATGAAAAAGTTATTTTTGGTTAATTATAAATTTTATTTTCGCACAAATCAAACAAACACATATTTGGAGATCAATTTAAATACACACACATACTCTTAAATATACACAAAATCAATTATACTCAAGAAGATAATATGAAAAGGGAAATACTCAAAATACACTTGTATTATAAAAAATTAAGTTTAGAACTCCAAATCTGATCCTTTTATATTAAATATAGACAGTGTAAATTCAGTATATATTTTCATTTCATATGTTTTATTAATTTAAAACATGCTGAGTACATAGTAAAAATAATCTCTTAATTAAAAATAAAATGTTGATTAATTAAAAATGGCATAAGTGCACCTTAATTTGATCCTCTAATTTTATAGAATGTTTTAGTTTAGCCTTAAATTTTATAAATATCTTTTTAATCCTTTAACCCTAATATATATTAGTCTCAAATGATATTTTTTATGTCAATTATCGATATTTTAAAGAATGAAAATTTAGGCGTTCATATTTGAGAATATTTTGTCAATGCTTAAAAGTTCAATCTTCATTTTTTTGTTAATAAAATTAATGGTGTAAGAATAAGATGATTGAAAGCTATTTTATAAAATTAAAGGATTAAAATGAAGTTTTGTGTAAAATTAAATGATCAAATGTATACTTTTGTCTTAGAAAATAAAAAGAAATTAAAAAATCCCCAGACAAGCTATGTTGTTGCATTTTCTCTGGCAATTGAGCAACCAAGTCCTTCCATTCTCAATGCATCATATTCCTTTGTGTATCTTCAAGTTTCTTCACTCTCAGTACATTCCTTTTCTTAAACAAATATTATGGAGATCTCATAACACATGCAAACCTTCTTTTCTTTAATTTCTTTCCTTTTACTCAAACTTTGATACCAATTTGTTATAACAAAGAAAAGTATATCTATGATTCTTGAAGAACAATTCAAAATTACTCAAATCTACTCAACTTATTCAAGATAAATACTCGAAAGACAGATATACTATTTGTTTATCATACAAACTCAACTTCGACAATCTTAACAATGCACAAGATTTAACTTATTTATATTATTTTTAAAATCTTAAAACTACCTCCTATTTAACAGAATTTACAAAAATTCATACTTCAAACACACATTATACTGTTATGTACATTATTAAATCCAACCCCCACAGATTTACACGTACAAAACTAATGAAGACTCCACAATCCTAAAAGGAGAAACATAATAATATTAATAGCAATTATTTCCAACAAGAATTATAGGCAAATCAACAGTTCAATTTCGTTGCTGCAACTTTGATTGTTCTAACTCATCCTAGGTTAAGAAAATCATACATGCCGTACCAGTGATATGATCACTGTAAAACCCTTACTTATTTTCTTGTCTTTTCTTCTTATTTTTTATTTTAATTTTTTTTATGTTTTAGTTCATTCATGATGGAGTGGTAGCCTTGTGGATTAGTTACTTGTCATGTTTCATTTCAAGTCCTTTCAGTTCAGGACATGGATGCAAAAGCTGCTGCTGCTGCTGCATTTGCATGCTTTTGTTTCTCTTTTTCGTTTTCATTTAAATTTTTCGATCAAAAATTGATTTTCATCCTCAACATTTTTTAAAAAGAAAGTTTTTCCCCCCTGAAACACGTGCAGGTTTTTAATTTTCTTGTCTGTGCTCTTGCTTTTTAATGTCTGGTAAAGAGATATTAGTCAAGTCCTTTCAAATAATGATGGCTAAGAAAGAAAGAAAAAGAATGTTCTCACAAATTATATGATTTTGTCTTTTAATGTATGGACTTGAGGATGTGTTGTCTTAGGGTGCAGTTTCCTAGATGAGCCATGTGTCAACACTAAACTACCTTAAAACAAAAAACGTACCTAATTGATTTTTTCATTACACAGGAGAAATATGGGAATAATTGTATTAATTAGTCCCTTTAGTACTAGTTATAAGATAAAATTTTAGAGTTTTATCTTGACTAAAAATATGGTAGTTAATTATTTTCTTAACTTTATCCCTTTTTAATTAATTGCAACAAGATTTTGGTATGCCTTTAATTTCTATACACTATTTTATCATGATCATTAATTTCAATGGAAGACAAAATAGAAAATTCATACATTTTTCTATAAATTTAAGGTATCAACCATCACTCCTTAAAAAAAAAGTGAAATTAGTTAACTTTATCATATAATTAAGACTGGAGAAGTACTCCTTATTGATACCTAAACTTTTAGTTTCGTGAATTTCATTGTAGTTGATTAGTTGAAATAGTTTTTAGCCCCCACCTGAAAAAACAATTCTTGGATAATCTATAGATGAGTCATTAATGATTAGTTTTAATCAACAAATACTCCATGTTTAGTTATTATAAGAACTTACTAACAATTTCAATAGATTAAGGAATTTAGTCAAAATTAGTTTACACTTTTTAAAACTTCAACATACTCAATGAATTTCATTAAATTAATTAGAAAATTGTTTACTTTATTAGGAGATTAATTATCTAGTTAGCTAAGGAAATCAAATCAAAAGATATTTGAGAAAAAAAATTAATGCTTTAGTCAAAAAAAGAGTCTTATGTTAACGACTATGAAGAAAAGTCTTATAATAATGGCCAGAGAGTCAGAGAGTACTTTAGAATGTGCTGCACAAATATTTTAGCTAAAGAAGGATTGCAACATATACATACATGTAGTTATTCGCTAGAATGTTATGTAACTCTTTTCATCTTTTCTAATTATATATATGTTTGAACTGCTAACTTGTTTTTGGTTTCTTAGGTATATAAAGTTAATTCAGTACAATTAGATAGTTAAGGCTAATTTATGATTTAGAAGAAGTAAATTATTACACATATATACGAAGAAATAGAAACGCACTTACTGTATATATTATTGCCAAAAAAATTAGCTTGATTTTATGTATGCATGTATGTAGATGTATTTGTGTGTGCATAAATGAATGAAGATATTTAACTCTGATTTGTTTTTTTTTTTTGGGGGACTGAAACAGCATGGAGAACATTCTGGAACGCTATGAAAGATACCATTATATTGAGAGGCAGCTTGCTGGAAACGATACTGCGACACAGGTTAGTGCTTTAATCAATTCATATTTACGATGAACTCTCATTAGTTAATTACTTTCAATTTTCAATTTATTAGTCATTTCTAATAATTATTTTTATATTTTTTTCTACATTCTCATCCCATCTTAATTTGTCTATATATATATATATTAGCATAAAACTAATTGAATGCTGATTTCACACACAAGTAGTTATCAACTCACAGTTGGCAAACACAAGCCATAATTAGGAACACTAATATAATACTGTAAGCAAATATGAAAGAGATCATATGGGATATACATGATTGTGTGCTTTTTTTTTTTTGGGTGAACAAATGGGGAGGCCTAATGAAAAAAAAAAAGAAATGAAAGAAACTAGAATGAACTTATTCGAGCATATGCAAGTCTAGTACTGCCCATGCGTATATATATATGGATCATCTACGTTTATAAAAGTGAATTTTATAAGTTATATAGTTAGAGATAAAGATAAAAATAGGTGACAACTATCAACGCTAAGATATTAGAATCAGCTGATTGTATACCAAAGTAATATATAATATCGGACGTCAGATGATTGTCTACCAAAAAAAAAAAGACAAAAGTTGTAGTATTTATATTACAAGGAATTTATCTCTTTCACTCTTTCCCCAAATATAATATTAATAATACAATTAAGATGTGATTTCGGTTGATTTTATGATTTTCAATTGGGTGTATACTCCTATTCTGTTTGAGTTGAGCTATTACATTCCTTATCATTTGGTGAAGATTGATTTTGTGTTATTTTACATTCTTGTTTCATATATACCTCATATATGCTGAAGGCACGAAACATTACACAATTTAACTACTTTCAGTTTTGTCTTTTGCTCTATCCCTACCTCTTTTCTTTAATTTTAATTTTGCACCGTTTTGTCTTTGCTTTCTAAACGCTACCTATATATTCTAACAATATGAATGTAAGAGATTCATATTATCATCACTTTTAAGGCTCTATAAAGAGTTGGTGTACGTGAAAACACATATATATTATAGCTAGATATGCTAAGCTATGTATAATATTATTCTTAAACCTTTGCAGGAAAACTGGACCATTGAGTATTCTAGACTGAAGGCCAAGATTGATCTTTTGCAGAGAAACCAGAGGCAAGTTATAACGAACTATAACCAGTAATATAAATTGATTGGCGAATTAGCTACCTCTGTGTGTGTGTGTGTGTTTTTTTTTTTAGTCATCTAATTCTCTGCCTCTCATTTGGTCTTTGTCGTAGTTGTTCATCAGAAGTGAAGATCCATGATATTAATTATTAAGCTTTAAGTTTCAGGCATTATATGGGAGAAGATCTTGCTTTACTCAACCTCAGAGAGCTTCAGAGTCTAGAGCTACAGTTAGAAACAGCTATCAAACATATCCGTACACGCAAAGTATATATACATATATATATGAATCAACTCTCACACTCACACACACACACACCCCATCATTCTTCAGTAACATTAATTCTTTCTTCTTTAATGGCGCTGAGATATTTTTACGTACGTTTGAATTTATTATTACAGAACCAGCTCATGTACGAGTCCATTTCTGAGCTTCAGAAAAAGGTAGAGTGTGTTTGACTCTCCATAAGCTTGATTTTCTGTCCTGAGAGGTTCAATCAATTTCATCTTCTTTTCCAAGAAAAGTTGACTGTGTTTATTTTTATATATAGTGCATACACTTCGATCAATTGAGATAATAGCAATTGAAAAACCTGCCTCTAAAACGTGATCTCTTAAGGGTGAAGTAGTTTTTATACACTTTTTTATGTAAATTAATCGGTGATTTCGTTTTGTTCTGCAAATATATATATATATATATATATAATGACAGGAGAAGGTGATGCAGGAACAGAATAGCATGCTTGCAAAGAAGGTGACGTGTGTGTGTGTGTGTGTGTGTGTTATATGACTTTTTTCTTTGGCCAGAATATATTATATTACATGGATTGATATATCACATGTTCAGCTTACATTTACAAATTTTTGTTTCATGATTTTACTGATAATTAATTAACATTTGCCATTCTATTTATGTTATCAAGAAGGCGTTCTTTATTTTATTGTGCTGTTCACTTTCTTACACTTAACTAGTTATGGTTCTATGATCGACAAGTATAATGCTTTACTGAAAAAGAGTGACACATGGGAGTCAAGGACAGATACCCCCCGCCCGCCCGGGGGGGGGGAGATGAGGGGTTCTTTAAATTTGCCTCCCATGTTACAAACTTTCTTTAAAAATGTATTAATTTTTGTGTGTACAATATTCATTAAGGAAATTCAAGTCAAGCTACCTGATCAAATTAGTAAACTATTAAATCACCATTGTCTTGACCAATTTAATAAAATATTTTGTTTATGATCGATTTGATCACAATTTAACTATAGTTTTTACAATAGACCCTTGAACCAATAACTTGACCGGTTGTCAGTGTCATGAAAATATGCAAGAATTAGTTCCCCATTTTTTGGCCCCTGATGGAATTGTCCCTCTCCAGCTAAAGTATACATTGTGCTTTGTCAAGTTGAGAATCCTAATCTCTTAGCTCTATGTATGTTACATGCTTGCATACTTTGATATTTGTATTCATACATGATGATATATATGTATGTGCATGTATATTATTGGATTGTGATATTATTGAAATGAAAATAGATAAAAGAGAGGGAGAAGGCAGCAGCAGGAGAGGCACAAGAAGCACGATGGGTGCAGCCAAGCCATGAAGCAGCAGATCCTAATCCTTCTTTTTTATTCCCACACCCTCTTCCCACTTTAAACATCGGGTACTTCCCTCTCCTTCCTCATGTTTATCTTTTATAATGTGTTAGCTATGAGATTTTTTTTTTAAAATTTAAAATTAAGCAAGTACAATCTAAAACCTAAATTAAATATATTCCATCTAAATTTAATCTCAACAGTTGGTGTTATTATGGGCATGAATGTGATTCTCTCTATCAAATGAGAATAATGCATCTTTGTAGGAAGAGTGCATGCATGCACGCGTACGTGTACTTTAAAATTATGAATAACTTATCATTGGTTATGTTTAAAATAATAATTACGTTTTTATATATGATTGACCTCAACCCTATTTGGATTTTTATCAAATATTTTGATTTTTTTCATATATTTAAACATGATTTAAGTTAAGTTGTACTATTATCACTTATTGCTCTTGCTCCAATATTGCTAACAAATTTTGGTTTCAAGTAATAATTGGGACCAATTCTTTTTTTTTTTTTGGGTGATCAATTCAAAATTTATTAAAGGCTAAGGTATGTCTTTTAACCCTTTAACTTTTCATAATATTTTATTTTATTTTATTTTTTAATTTTAATTCGATAAAATACCTTTTCAATCCTTTAATTCTAACACTGTTAGTTTTATTACATAAAATTTATACAGTAAACTTTTAGATATTTATAAAATATTATCAAATATTGACATATTAATTTTTTTATAAAAATAACAATGATTGAGACACAAAAAAATTCATTTAAAATTAACAGTGTTAAGTGTTAGAGGACTGAAAAGATACTTTGTAAACTTAATAGACTAACTTAAAATTTTATATAAAGATATGTATAGGATCAAAAGTACACTTTAGCTTTTATTAAATTATGGATTATGGATATTTCCTGCTCAGGTCGTGCCATTTTTTTTTTTTTGGATAAAAGTCCCGCCAATTTTTATTTGGAGAGTTTGTTAGCATATTTCACATGGGTTAACAAGATTTTTTTTTTTGGGTAAATCAGGTTAACAATATTTAATTTCAACGGGGTTTATATGTTATTTTTTTCATTTTTAACTAAATTATAATATCTTTTTTATAACGAATTAATGTGTACTAAAATAGCATTGATATTCTAGTTAATGACTTATGGAAAATAATAATGATTTAAATTGAAATCCAATAGAATTCAAATAAGATGTGCCCGAAATACATATTATAATTATAAAAATGATTAATAATGTTTGGTAATAACAATAATTTTATGTAAATGCAGTGGTAATTACGTTGAAGAAGAGACTGCAGCGGGAAGGAACGATCTTGATCTGACGCTGGAGCCACTGTATGGCTGCCACCTTAGCTGCTTTACTCCCAGATTATAAATTATAATTATAATTATAATGGATTTGGCTATCCAGGATTGGCTTTTGACTTGTTCTTTCACTTCTTTTACTATTTATGTTATTTTGTTTGTCTATTTTGGAGGGTTTTTTGTAATCTTTTAAAAAGTATAGCTATTTTTTATCTTTATCTTTGAAAAGAAGTCTGCCACATAATTTAGGCATCCTAAAAATCTCTGTAATTAATTTTTATCTGTAATTTTATCTGAAAATTTTTCTGCAAATTCTACAACTCTACTGGTTGAAGTTATTTTTCCTAATATATCTCCATTCCTAGAAATTTTACTTTAATTTAGAGTAACTTCATTTTCTAGTTGAGATGCCTAGTTTATTGGCTCTTATGATTTTATAAAATTGATTTAGATGTTTAAAATGTTCTTTAATTGAATTGAAAAATACTAAAACATCATCAGTATAAACTATAGGGACTGTATGGATTAAATATATCATTCATTATTTGTTGAAATTTTGAGAGTATATTTTTAATCCAAAAGGTATTACGTTCCATTCATAATGTCCAAAAGGAATTGTAAAAGTTGTTTTATATCTATTTCTTTCTGCTATTTGTGGTAGTATCCAAATTTAATTCATATCAAATTTTAAAAATATTAAAGCATTAGATAATCTTCCTATTAAGTCCATTTTATTGGGAATAGGATATTTAATTCATCTTAAAACTTTGTTTAATGGCTCATAATTTATAACTAATCTTGACACACCTCTTTTTAATTTTGTGCTATTTTAGAATAAAAAGCTGAACAACTCCATGTAGATTTGCTCGGCCTTATTAATTTCTTTTCAAGTAATTGTTGCATTTTTGTTTTACAATATTTTAACAATTCTTAGTTCATTTATATAGGTCTAACTTTTATTGATATTTGTTTTTCATTGAAGTTTTCTTTATAAGGTAATTCTACTCTGTGTCTTTTTCTATTTCAAAAAGTATTTGGAAGTTTTGCACAAATGTCTTTTTCAAAATTTTCTCTTATTTTATTTATTTTGTTTTTTATTTTCAGACTTTCTATCTATTCTTTAATTCTTTTATAATGTATTTTTTTATTAAGAAAGTTTATTTGTTTTTGTTTTCTATCTAAATATAGAATTTTGCTTTAACATTCTTATTTATCTAACTATTTGAGATTTTATTCATTCAAAAACTATCTTTTCTCCTGCTATTTTTACAATTATTCCTTTATGATCCCGTTTAAAAGATGAAATTTACTTTAAGAAAGGTGTGCCTAATATAGTAGGTTCACTTAGAGTTTTAGCCAATAGAAAATATTTTTAAAACATATTCCTTTACTACATATATGTGTGTTTGTTAGTTTATATTGTATGTCTAATTTGGAATTGCTGGCAGTACCTATTCTTTCACAAGTTTTTTTTACAATATTTTGTTGGGATTAATCCTTCTCGTGTACAATTTATGTCTGCTCCAAAATCTACTAAAGCAATTATATTTCTTGAATATTCCCTATTTATTACTAAATATACTTTTTTTGGCCTAAATTACTAAAATTACTTGACAATACCATTTTTTGTAGGTTATTTGTGATATTGTGTTCATGTATCTTTGTTGATCTATTTCAAAAGGAAGTTTGTCTATTTTGTTTTCTATATTTTCTTATGTTTTTATTTTACTGGTTTCTAGTAAAGCTTTCATTTGTAACAATTCTAATTCTCTTTGATTTTCATTTTCTTTTAATTCTCCCATTTCTTGTTTTAGTTGTTTCAACTCTTTTATTTCTTATTTTATTTGTTTTATATTTTGCTGTAATTCTTTTATTCTTACCGGAGTAACATTTTCTTTTTCAAATATTTTTAATATGTCTTTCATACTTATATGATTGGTACTATTTTGTTGTTTTTCTTCTTTATCTAATATGTCTTTTATTTTATTTTAATTAAATATTTTTTAATGTCTTCATCTTGTATTTTTTCTACAATTTCTACTAGAAACTTTAGGTTTTCTTTATCTATAACATTTAGATTTCTTATTATATGAGAGTACCTTGGGTAATGAGCTGGTCTTAGTTTTAATCTAAATTTATTTGATGGGAAGATCTTTAGTGGAAATCAAATGTTTGAAGTTGAGGAAGAGTTTTCTAATTGTGAAGTTGAGAAGTTTTATAAAATGTTAAAGGCTACAGGGGAGCCACTTTTTGATAGGTGTAGAATTCATTCTATATTATCTATGGTGACAAGATTGCTAAATATTAAGTTTGAATCTAATATGAGTCAGAGTTGTTTCAATCATATTTTACAATTAATTAAAGAATTGTTATCAAAAGATGAAAAGTTTCCTAATAACTTGTATAAGACAAAACAATTTGTTAGTAAGCTTGAGTTAGGGTATGAGAATATACATGTATGTGTAAATGGTTGTATTCTTTATTGGAAGGAATATAAAGATAAAACCACTTGTTCCAAATGTGATCATCCTCGTTATAAGCCTAGGAAGAAAGGTGGTAGGTGAAAGCATAACAAACCTTATAAAGTTTTAAGATACATGCCTCTTACCCTATGGCTATAAAGACTGTACATGTCATCAAAGATAGTTGAACACATGATATGGCATTCAACAACTCGTCGAGAGTTAAGAGTGATGAGCCATCCTAGTGGTGGAGAAGCATGGAAGCATTTTGACTAGAGCCATCCTTCTTTTGTTATAGAACCTCGCAATGTTTGATTAGCCCTTGCATCTAGTGGTTTTAATCCTTATGGGCAAATGTCACATAATTATTCTTGTTGGCTAGTAATTGTTACACCGTACAACCTTCCACCAAGAATGTGCATGAGCAGCCCTTATATGTTTCTAACTCTTGTCATTCCTAGTCTAAAGAGCCTTGGCCAAAATATAAACTTATATTTGCAACCTATTATAAATGAGTTGAAAACATTGTAGGAGATTGGTGTGGAAACATATGATTCTTTTATACATTAAAACTTTCAAATGTGAGCTAATCTTATGTGGGCTATAAATGACTTCCTTACTTATAGTATGTTATCTGGATAGAGCACACATGGTGAATCCTTCTTTGCATATAGCATGTCCTGCCTATAGACATGCTTCTAAATTGGTAAGTTTTGAGTCATTAAGTTATAAAACTCTCATATTGTACTATTATTGTTCTAATTTTTAAATTATATTAATGATTATTACTTTTGTAAGAGAAAGAGAAAGGAAAGAGACCCATGCTATCTGAAGTGTACAAGGCAATACACAAGGAAAAAAAAAGATGATCAATGGGTTGATGACAAATCCAAAAATCCAAAAGTAAGTTTAATGTTAAAAATGATGATTAATTTAGTTCTTCATTTATATATACTTACTAATTAGTTGAAATTTGAATTTTGTTAGATTAAGTATAAACATAACAATCAAATTCACCTATCTGGACAATCAATTAGAGAAGATGAGCAACATGGAGATTTTGAGAATGTTGCAATGTTTGAAAAATGAAGGTGGAGGCCAAGGTGTAAATGTTGATGATAGAGATTTCATTGAAGCTCAAGCTTCTCTCTCTCTCTCTCAAGATTAAGTGGCTCGAGCATAGTTGAAGGCAGTTGGTGGGATATAGAAGATCGGTAAAGTTTATGGACTTGGATCACATGCAGCTATAGTATGTGGAAATCATGGCAAAACCACTTGTAACATTAATATTGTTCATTCTACTCCTCCACATCCTATACCAAATGTAGGAGATATTGTTCAGAGACCTACATTTGAAGAAGTAGTTAACCATGCAATAAAGGAGAAGATAGAACTTGTATTCAACCAAAAGATATTAGAGATAAGATTTTCCATACAACAAGACATTTTTGGGGCTATTCGTACTTGGCTGAGGCAATCCCAACTCCATAGCAACATGCTAGCAATGCAAATTTTTCTAAGCAACCAGATCCAAATGGTGTGAAAAATAATTGTTATTTCCTAAATTTTTCCTTTATTTTATAAGTATGAGATACTTTTAGAACTCTTATTGAGTTTATTACTCTACACTATTATAATATTGTATGACTTTTAATGTGTGGTTAACATATTGAACCATTTATGTTATATTGTGTACTTTAAACTTCATTTTCTAGTCAACTGCATGATTCAACAGGATTTATTTATAATCAAAATTTTGATTCTTACAAAACAAATGTGCAATTTAGTGAGGAAATTGTGAGGATATTATTCATCTCCAATTAAACCAATTTGCAAGGAATTAGCGAGGAATTAATTCCTCTCCAATTAAATTGATTTTGCAAGGAATCAGTGAGGAATTAATTCCTCTTCAATTAGCAAGGACAAAGTTCCTCACCAAAAGTCCTAGCTAAAAAAATAGAATTAGCAAGGAATTAGCAAAGCATTTTAGTTCTTTGCTAAATTTAAAGAGGAAAAAATGTCTTCGCTAAAAAAAATTACGCTTCGCTAAATATTAGTGACCTATCATTTAACTACAACTTTAGTGAGAAAATTATTTGTTATTAATAAGGAATATAACTTATTTAGCAAGGAATGTGGTTCTCGCTAAATCTTAATTTTCTTGTCGGTGGATTAAAACCACTGTTAAGACAATTCCACAACAAATTAAAGAACAAGCTATTACATTAACATCTTTTCTAATAAAAAAGTATAAGCTGACAACATAGTTGGTAGTTGCCAAGAAAAAAGAAGAATGGGCCTATCTCATACAAGAGGTAGCTTCCCAAGCTTCACAACAACCTTGGGTGAAGGATTATCTATCCAAGATATAGATGATGAAGACATATTTAGCTTCGATTTTGAAAACTATCAATTGCTGGCCAACAGGCAAAAGTAGCCAAGAAGACAAAAATAGCAGAATGATAGATAAAAAAAAGGCAATCAATCAAAGAAGAAGACAAAGAGAAAGAAAAAGAAAAGAATGACAAAAGAAAAAAAAAATGATCGAAAGCGAGTATGAGAATAAAGAAAAAAAAAGTCAAAAAAAAGAAAAAGAAAAAAAAATGGCAAAAACAAGTCATGAGAATAAAGATGATAAAAAATAAAAAAAGACATGATGCATGTGCTAAAAGTAATCAGAGTTACTCAACCAGAGTTACTTTAAAAGTAAAAGTAAT